CTTGGGGGGGTAATGTGACTGGGTGGGCATGGCCATTTTTTTTTTTACTTTTAAAACCATTTTTTCTACAACGTGTTCGGCGAAGAGGTTGTTAAAAAATGCTTTCAAAAAGCTCTGACAATCCCAGCTGAGTTGCCTGATCGGCAGAGGCTTTTTTTCTTTTAAATGCCTCTGACGATCAGGCAACTCACCTTGGATCGTCATCCTAGTTGTTCCGCTAAAGAAGCAAACACCTGTATTGTGCAGCTGATATAGGAAGATGCTGGAGGCAAATGATTGCTTTATTGACAAGGGCAAAGGCATCCTTTCATACGGCATAGAGGATGGCAGTGGTAAATCATTCCTGTATTTTACCAAGAAAACCACACAGATGGACAAGATAAAATAATTGACAGTATGGGGCAAATCGAAATGGACTGGAGTTCAGTCAGAAGATAACATTCTTTACTACTCCAGAGAGAAAAACAAGGAAGGAAGAGTGTTGGTTTCATCATCTGGAAAAATATATGAAGAATCGCATTGGCTACAATGCCATCAATGATTGAATAGTATCAGTTAGATTTGCAGACAATTCATCAATTATATATACAGACAATTGGCCAGGGGCTGATTATAGAAAATATCAAATATTCATGTGCAATGTACAAGTTAGGCTAAAGTGGAAGAAGAAAGCCAATCAGTTTCCATGATACTATGTTGATCATATATACCTACCAATTTCACGAATAACATCAGGAACAGAATGGGACTAAGTTTAGTTATAGGGATCAAACTAATGACAACAGATATAACAACCAGCCTTAGAATGTACAATAGCGTTGTATGTTGGATTTGCTTACCATTAAGAGTTGAGATATGGGAGGATGAGATTTATATTTACTAACTAATGTTATATTTTTAGGACTAAGATTGGACTTTTTGCTGACACCTGGATTACTTATTGGATTTGTCAACAGGTAGCTCTTGAGTTACAACCATAATGGAGCCTTCCCATTGCATTTGTAAATTGTGACAGTTGTTAATTGGGTCACCCATGTGACCGATCTGATTTTACAACTTTTTTTGCAGTGGTCATTAAGTAACCACCATGGTCATTAAGTAAATTCTGCAGTCATTAAGCAAACCAAATAAATAAACAAATGCCAGGTTTAGGCAAAAGCATCATAAAATATAATCATGTGACCACAGGATGGTGCAAACAGCCATAAATGCTGGCCAGTTGCCAAGCGCCCGAAGTGCAGTCATGGAACTTCAAACCCAACCCGTAAGTATCCCTAGGGAGGTCTGTCACAGTGGTGAAAACTAAAATTTGTTACTATCAGTTCTGTGGGCGTGGCTAGGTGGGGGGGGGTAATGTGACTGGGTGGGCGTGGCCAATTTTTTTTTTTTTACTTTTAAAAGCATTTTTTCTACAACCTTTTGGCGAAGAGGTTGTAAAAAAGTGCTTTCAAAAGGCCCTGACGATCCCAGCTGAGTTGCCTGATCGGCAGAGACTTTTTCTCTTTTAAATGCCTCTGACGATCAGGCAACTCAGCTTGGATCATCAGAGGGTTTTTTTTTTCTTTTAAATGCCTCTGCCAATCAAGCAACTCAGCTTGGATCATCAGAGGCATTTAAAAGAAAAAAACCCTTTTTTTCTTTTAAATGCCTCTGACGATCCAAGCTGAGTTGCCTGATTGTTAGAGGCATTTTTTTTTTACTTTTAAAAGCTTTTTTTCAGCGGAAGAGGTTGTAGAAAAAATGCTTTTAAAAGGAAAAAAAAAGCCTTTGATGATTGTATGGCTCAGCTGTGCATGGGGGGAGGGGATTTTTGCAACCGGTTCTCCGAACCACCCGCCTCCATCGCTACCGGATTGGGCAATCCGGTCTGAACCAGAAGCATTTCACCCCTGATCTGTCATAACTTCAAACAGTCATTAAGTAATGTATTATTATTTATTATTATGACTAAAACTTTTAATAAAAAATAAAAATTATTTCAAAAAATATTGACAATGAAGATAATGAAGCTGTGGACAGCTACTGCCTTTTTGGATCAATTATCACAAGAAAGGAACCAACCCTCAAGAAATAAATTGCACTTGGTAGAGAAAGCCATGAAAAAGATAGTCAGATGCTGGGATATGCTATGCTTAAAAAGTTCAGGATGGTGCAGGCTATAGCTTTTGCTGTGACATTCTTTGGAAGTAAAAGTGGACTTAGAAAAAAGCAGGATAAAAAGTCTATTGATGCTTTTGAATTAGTGTTAGAGAAGACTCTTGAGAATATCATGGATAGCCAAGAAAATGAACAGATGGCTCATCAAACAAATCAATATAAAGTTCTCACTCCAGTATAAATGATCAGCCTCAAATGATCCTAATTATTTGGTCTCATAATACTGGAAGAAATAGAAGGAAAAAAAGAGAATGACCAGCAACAAAATGGATGGCTTCCATTACCCAGTGTTGGTGCGCCAAGGGAAGACCTGAAGGAACTGATTGGGGACAGATAGTCCTGGAGAAAATTCAAAGTTGTCATTAACAGCTTTTAATATGATATTTTATACTGCCACTATCAAGATAAAGAAAAGCAAGTCAGAAATATTTTGGAGGGGAAAAAAAGTAATTTATTATTTATTTGTCTTCCAGTTTCCTGTGGGAGATCATTGTTGCCATGCATTTAAACATTAACCTTACAATCCTGTAAAGTAGGATGGGTATCTAAAGTACATGCTCGGTTACACCAACACATGGCTGTTTTGTCAACTGCACCATGGATTAACAAAAAAGATTCAAATCAAGGTTTAACCCATTTTACAATTGTATTTGCTACAACGGAATTCTACGTTGACAAAGTCTGACTCAAAATAAACTCATCCTTTGCATCAAGGGGGAAAATATCACTTTTATGGTTTTAGACAAATCATTTTACATACATGGCATGGTGGCATAATAATTTTGCCCATCAGTTACAAAGCAAAATAAGTAATTATGTGGGATACCAAAGATTCTGACTACTATGAAACTACCATTTGGCTTTGACAATATTACTGGGTTTTGCATATACTTGGGAACATTAAAACTAGAAACGGTCTTTTAAAGACCGTTTCTCCTGCAGGCTGACATCTGCACCAGGTACAGAATACTGCATTTCCTTGTTTCCTCTGCCTCTTTGTATTTTAAGGGCCGGGGCCAGTCCAAGACATTAGCATCCCTGAAGTATATCAGCAGGTAGTTCTTCCTGTGATCGACATTAAGGTATAATATCTGTGTTATTAATGAAAGTAACAGAGAATCCCAAAACAAGCTGTCTCACCCAAGCTTTAGAGATACTTCCACCAAGAAAACTTTGCTGCCTTTTTTATGTTGCCCCAAACCAGTGGTGAAATCCAAATTTTTTTACTACCGGTTCTGTGAGTGTGGCTTGGTAGGCATGGTGTGGCTTGGTGGGCGTGGCTTGGTGGTGTGGCAGGGGAAGGATACCACAAAATCTCCATTCCCACCACTCTGGGGCCACTCTGGGGCCAGGCAGAGGTGCTATTTGCCAGTTCTCCAAACTGCTCAAAATTTCTGCTACCGGTTCTCCAAACTGCTCAAAATTTCCACTACCGGTTCTCCAGAACCTGTCAGAACCTGCTAGATTTCACCCCTGCCCCAAACCTTCTATTTAGGGCAGCCGCCGCCACCCCACTCCTTAAAAGAAGGGTTACCTTTCCTTGAACTGCATGTGACAATTCTAGAAAAACCATTTTTATTGGCATGCATGGCCTAGTGACTGCTGGGTCTTTCCCACTATCTGCTGAACGATAGAAAATACAAACATTTGCTGTAGACACAGCTATAGAAGCCTCAAATATTCAGATAGTATTATCTTAATCTAGTGATTCAATCAATGCCTAACATTACAGAGCATATAGAGTAAATAGTATCCTCTACCCGGAACAATTAAAATATTAGAATGTTTCAAACAATTTCTGTTTTTATAAACTTAGCCACTTCTTATTTTTTTTGCCAAAGGCAGTATCTCTGTAAGCTTATAAACTTTTTATTGCTTTGCAGAGATGTAACAGTCCAGTAAAATAAATCACATTATCTGTTTCAAATTTGCGATTCAGAAATACTGAGTTGCACTTGAAAGCTAATAGCATCAGTATGACTTACTGAAGGAAAAAAAAATAGCTAAATGCAATGAAATCTATTTGGACTGATATGTCATTTCAAAAGACCAGTGCTTAACAAAAAGAGATGTGATTGCTTTTCATACAAAAAAATATGAACAGTAGAAGATCATCAAATGAATTTGAGAATATATCAGAGCAAATAGGGAAGAACTCCCACACAACACACACACACACACACACACCAGAGTAAGATATCGTTGTCTGAGTTCATTGTTTGCTTTAGGCAAATTTTTTATTCCTGATATAACAAGTATTATATAAACACAAAAACTGCATCATTTTCAGATCTGATATTGTTTACGTTTCTCTTAAATTAAATGTGCTCATAATTTAAGGGCAGAATTTTGAAGCCACCAAGGAATAACACGTTGTCAACTTTAGCAAACAATCCTGATTCCAACTTTATGTGTAATTGGCTAAGACTGGATCATGGGATGTTTATGGTAACCATTTCCTCTCTCGCTCTTAAGGTAGAGAAGAGGTGGGAGTGCCTGTCACACAAATGCTTGGCAAGTGACATTTGTCAAGCTCTTAGACCAGATAATTGGAGGAAGATTGCTAAAACTGGCATTTCTCTGTAAATCACAGCTTCTGAATCTCATTCCTTTAAAAGAAAAAAAACAACCACCAATCAGCCACATTGCAAATGCACGAGAAACACCATAAGGAAAACTGACATTACAATAAAACTGTTTAAAAGAAACCGGGTAATTCTTCCTCTGAGCAGCACGAGTTGTGTTTAACCTAATAAAAGCCAGGCAAGTCATAAAAATGTAAATCTGAGGAGCCGTGAACCTGAACAGCAGAACGTGAAAAGGGCTGAACTATTCTGACTTACTTTCATCTCAGAAAGACGTTTCCATTCCTCTTGCTGTGTTGCAATTGGCTGACCGGATCACATGACCTTGACAACTAAAATAGAAAAGCTTCACAAGAGGGAGACTGAAGCAGCAGAATGCCGAGGAGTGAAAATGTGGAAGAGCTTCAAAAATCTGTATGACCCACAAACCAGATGGACCTGAACATGAAGAGTTTCCAAAAGACTCCCTGTCACATTCCAATACGCTCTCTCAGCAATATCTTTCTAAAATTCCTGCTGGAGCTCAACTTTCAGACTTATATTTGCCCCATCTGAATTTTGTATTCTTGTTGCAAAAGACATTTTGGAAGCTCTACCTCTTTATTGTCTCTCTGATGTTCATTGCAATTGTTACAGCTTAATTACACAGCACTCCAGGAGAAGCTACTCAAATTACAATCACTCAGACTATTGCAATTATTGCACAAACTCATGATTATTTGGTCTCCTTTTCTGCTTGTGAGAATGAGCAAATGACAAAAACTTCATATTTAATTAAATATTCTCTTTGGTAAAACTGCCCATTTATTGAGGTAATCTTTGGGAGGCTCCTCTGAATGTTCCAAGCAATTTTGAGGTAGATTGGTTGCAACCATGGAAGGATGTGGTTAAATTCTGAAACCTCCTTCCAAGAGATGCCCCATCACTGTTTAACTTCTTTGCAAAAAGTTATTAAGAAGTCTATGATAGTTAAGTTTTACTTCCTATTTTAATTAGTTACTGTTTCTAATATTTGTTAATCGCTAGATAATTATTCTCGCTGTTGTTTTGCATATTTTCCTGCAAATTAAGGATTTGTGAGAAGGTTAACTATTTGGTAAATAACTGGAGAATAAATTGGATAAAAGTAATTCAAACAGAATTAATTTAAAACTTATTCATGTTGAGATTTATTTTAAATTTGTACTGCACAAATTTTAAAAATGTATGAATGCATCCAAAATTGTTAAAGAATCACAACATACAGACAGACACCAGGGGTAGTATTCACTTACCTTCGCTACTGGTTCGCAAATTGAGCACGCATACCTCCTCCATGCATGTGCAGAGCCTCCTGCAGCCGGCGCTACCGGATCGCACGATCCGGATAGAACCGGCTGAAATTCACCACTGACACACACCAAAAAAATTCATAACAAAAAGCTGATTTAGGAATTATAAATGGAACTCCAAAAACACTGACTGATTTTTCAAAAGGCTTTTTTGTGCGTGTGCATTCTAAAACAGACAAACAAAGCCACTTAATTTCAATGTGACAAGCTGTAGAGACTTTGGAAAAAGTGCAAAGAAGAGCAACTAAGATGATTAAAGGCCTGGAGCCTAAAACATATGAACAGTGGTGGGTTTCTACTGTTTCGCCCCAGTTCGGGAGAGCCGGTAGCAGCGATGCTGAGCTAAGAGTGAACTGGTTTACTCCGACTGTCAGCTGGGCCCTCCCGCCCGCCCCTGCGCTATACCTACCTATATTCAATCATTTTTAGCCCAGCTGATAGGCACTGCAGAGCGGATTGCCGCACCTCAGCTGTTCTGAAATGCAATGTGCTTGTGCAAAGTGCGAAGCGAACCAGTTGTAACACCGGTTGAAATCCACCACTGCATATGAATGGTTGCAAGGTTTGGCTAGACTAGAGAAAAGAAAGGCTAGGGGGAACATGATAGCAATATTCCAGCATTTGAGAGACTGCCCCAAAGAGGAGGGGGTCAATTTATTTTCCAAAGCACCAGATGGCAGGACAAGAAACAATGGAAGCTAGCCAATTTGGAATTAAGGAGAAACTTCCTAACAGTGAGGACAATTAACCAATGGAACAGCTTGTCTTCAGAAGTTGTGGCTGCTTCATCACTGGAGGTTTTTAAGAAGAGACTGGACAGTCACTTGACTGAAATGGTATAGGATCTCCTGCTTGAGCAGGGGGCTGGACTAGAAAACCTCCAAGGTCCTTTGCAGCTCTATTCTGATTAATTGTATTAGCAAATTCTTATTGCAGATCAGCAGTGGTGGGTTTCTACTGGTTCGTCCAGGTTCGGGCAAACTGGTGGTGGCAGTGGTGGGAGGCTCTGCCTACCCACTCGAACGTCATCACGGACACTTTGCGCATGCGTAGAAGGTTCTGCACATGCGCAGAAGCACTGCGCGCGAGCAAAGCACACGCAAGCATTCCCGGTTCCGAACCGGTAGCAAAGGTAAGTGCAGATCAGGTATGGGTAGTCCTTGACTTATGACTGGTAACTTAGCAATCATTTAATGTTACGACAGACTGGGTGTACTTATGATCCAGTTCTGAAATTCTGATGCCTCCCTCCTGAAGTCATGTTGGGCACTTGGCAATGCAATGGTCCACAGTCACATGACTGTGTTTTATATCATTTTTATCTAAATATGGCATTTATTGGTTCACTTAACAACTGCAAAAGATCACCACAAAAAAGATCATAAAAGCAGGTAGGTCATGTGGCTTTATGACCCTCACAACTTATAATCATGATGACTGGATTCCATTCTGGTTGTAAATCAAGTACTATCTGTATAGCTTTCAGGATAATATAATACTTTTTTAGCAAATCCCTATACCTAAACAATCCATAGTGCTTGATAAAGTACCAGTCACCTTGAACAATATTAATAACCCTGCTGATACCAGCCTAAAACACAACCATAACAGAACAAGACTAAACCATATTGATCTTCAACAGCAGTTTGATTACTACCAACCAACATTAAATGTAGTCTAAATTGTATACAAACTCTCTTTTTTTTGCATATTAACCTCAATTTTAAAAAATATAAAATGGATTTCATATTGTTTAATGCAACCTTCCATTGATTTACCATTCAAGCTTGTTATTCAAAAGGATTGATAAAAACCGAAATCAAATTTACCAATTTCTCAGCAGAAGTTAATAGAATGCTGTCTCCTACTTCTGAAAAAAGCGGATAGTTTCATTTAGGAAACTATTTAAAAAACCTTAAGAAACTGCTAAAACTTACCTTAGATCTTAGAACAAACAACTCTCTATTTCTTATACGTCTGCTTTTTTGCTTCTCTCAAGATACTTAGCTCCCCTTATTTTAAATACAGTATGCAACTATTTCACCCTTGCTAGGAAGAGAGATAAAAATTTTATTTTCTAATTCTTTTTCTACATTTCAGTAAAGTCCCATGAAAATATAATATTCCTACTGATCATTTAACATTTTTCCCAAGAAAGGAAAAAGCAAAGAAGGTAAAGGTAAAGATTCCCCTCACACATATGTGCTAGTCATTCCCAACTCTAGGTGGCAGTGCTCATCTCCGTTCCAAAAGCTGAAGAGCCAGCGCTGTCCCAAGACGTTATGGTTATGTGGCCAGCATGACTAAATGCCAAAGGCACATGGAACTCAGTTACCTTCCCACCAAAGTGCATTTTTTTTACGTGCTTTCAAACTGCTAGGTTGGCAGAAGCTGGGACAAGTAACAGGAGCTCACCCCATTACGCAGCACTAGGGATTCGAACCGCTGAACTGCCGATCTTTCAATCGACAAGCTCACTGAGCCACCGAGTCCTGTAAAGAACAGTAGCTTCAGATTAGTATCTATCAAACCAATTCTGTGTGGGTACAGATGTAAACAGACCTATAATCCAAAGCACAGCATCCACTAGGCATTTATCTAGATTCAATTTCCTTAGTAGCTAGCTAAATATTTATCTACTATATAAATATCCCAAGTACTGTCTAGCCAAATGCAAGCTAAAATGTTCACGGGTTAAGTTTTGGGGTATTAACTTCATCTGCTTATGATACTCTACCTTTTGTACAGGAATCAAAGCAGTGATGTGTTGATAGTGCTACTCCAAAGTCACCAGCTTCTATGGTAGAAAGTGGACTTGAAAGACATCTTCTCTTCACCCACTTAAAAAAATGTTTGTTCCTTATTTGAAAATTAAGCTTTCCCTTGAAGTTCCATTGAATTCAGTGAAGGAATTAAGCTTAGAATTTAAAAGGTTGTCACTGAAATAAATTGAACTCATTCTGTTGTTCTTTTAGGATGAATTATACCTATGAATAATTTTATATTTTTTTTATTTATTTATTTTTATATGCTGCCCTTCTCCGGAGACTCAGGGCGGCTTACAATGCATTAAGCAATAGCCTTCATACTTTTGTATATTTTTTATACAAAGTCAGCTTATTGCTCCCACAAACCGGGTCCTCATTTTACCCACCTTAGAAAGGATGGAAGGCTGAGTCGACCTTGAGCCTGGTGAGAATTGAACTCGCAGTAATTGCAGGCAGCTGGATGTTAAATGCTGCCTTAGTAGGAGGCATTAGCCTCCTACGCCACTCAGGCTCCTGAGAGTTATTATAGATAACTGAGTAGTTACAGTAGGCAGTTACAATAGAGAACTCTGATCCCCTATCCATGGCTTTTGAGATTGCTATCAGATCTTATTTTGAATGTGTCATCTCTGTCCTTGGCCCATTGCACGCTATCATGTGTCTCTCTCTTATGGTTGTTTACTCAAAAATTAATTCTTTCTCTGACTTCATCCACAGATTTCTGAGACTAGCAAGGATTCCAAAAGCTTATAAAGCATGCTGGCTTGGAAATTCTGGGAATTGGAGTCCACACAACTTGAAGTTGCCACGGTTTAGAAACATTGTTCTAGAGCCATGATAGTGAACCTATGGCATGCGTGCCAGAGGTGGCACGCAGCACCCTTACTGTGGGCACGTTAGCCGTCACCCCAGTTCAGCTCTGCCATGCATGCACGCATGCCTCCTGCTGGCCAACTGGTCTTTGGGTCTCTGACACACACGTATGGGGATGGGGCCTGTGCGGGGGGGCGTGTGTGCATGCATGGGGGTGGGGTGCATGCGGGGGCATACGCATGTGCATGAGGTCATGCACACACATGCATGGGGTGAGGTGCATGCGCAGGGGGTGGGGCGCATGCATGCCTTGCATTTTGGGGATTCGGGCATGCGTACTTTGGGCATTCGGTCCGGAAAAGGTTAGCCATCACTGTTCTAGAGG